TCCCCATTCTGATTTCGCACGCTGAATCTAGCCCCTAATTTACATTCTCCGCCCGAATGAAACAAAGCCGCATCAGTATTTAGCTTAACACTAGTCGGCCTGCCCCATACCTCACTTGTATTCTCATGTCCATCATCCTGTGAATTTCCATGCGCTCGAGGAGCCCTGCGAAACTAGTGAATTAAATCCAAACCAATCTCCACCACTACCATTGGGGTAGATCTACTTTGCTTAAACACCACTGCATTTCGTGCCTTCCATATGGCCCATAACAAACAAATGAATTCTTCTGTTTCATCTTTATTCAATACTTCAAATGCTCCCTGCAACCAATCTATAATTGAATCATGGAAGTTGAAGATATCTTGGAATCCCCATTTAGTAGCCAACCAAACCAACCTTGAGAATTGACAATTACACAGACAATGAAAAGCTGTCTCAACCTCAATCTCGCATAGTGGGCACACGAGTTCTACGCTTACTCCTCCTTTAATCAATTCACTTCTTGTAGGAAGGATGCCATGAATTACTTTCCACATAAATAGCATTGTCTTCCTTGGCACTGCACAGTGCCACAAATTTTTCCACAACCAATTGCCTTTAACCGAAGAACTAGCACTAGTTACATTATCCAATGTACAGCCCAAAAGTTTATAATTAGATTTTACTGTATAACTACCATTCTTCGTATCAAACCACACTTGACAATCAGGAATTTGCTGAATACTTAATGGGATAGACAAAATCAACATATTTTCATGCGAAGGAAAGCAATTACGTACCTTATCTTTATCCCATCTCATTAACTGTAGATCAATAAATTCACTGACAGTCATGGATTCACTTACTGGAGCATCACAAACCAAGACTTTTCTTGGAGTCTCATATGGTATCCAGTTATCTCGTTTTGCTGAAATATTTGTACCATTACCTACCCTCCATATTAGCGCCATTTTTATCAAACCTTGGCTATCTCTTAAGCTCCGCCACAAATAACTGGGATTAGACCCAATAGGGGCTTCACAAAAGTTCACATTCGGAAAATACCTAACCTTTATCACATTATGAGCTAAAGTATTTACTTGGGTTTGTAGCCTCCAGCCTTGTTTAGCTAGCATAGCTAAATTAAAATTCTTTGTATTTCTAAAGCCCATGCCTCCATAGTGTTTTGACGTACAGATAGCTTTCCAACTCTTCTAATGGATTTTATGATCCTTGACATTACCTCCTCGCCAGTACCTGGCATAAACAGAGTCAATTTCAGCATATAAAGTGTCTGGTAATTTAAAACAACTCATAACAGCATATAAACACAATGTTTAGTTTGTCTTCAAGTCATAAAAATTGGTTGTTGGATTTATTTCTTTCTTTCTTATTTTTTGTCTATTTTTGTTTTTTCAATTTTTTTGATTTAGGGATTTTAGATTGCATGTAATTGATTTTTGCTTTTATTCCTCATTGTGATTTTTTATTTGTTTCTCATTGATGATTTTATGTTATTTGTTTTATTTTGTTTAATTATTATTATTAATTTTGAAGGTATTTTATTTGTGTTAATGTTCAGGGCATCTTAAATGGGAGACTATGGGGAGCATGATTTGTTAGAAAGGAAAAAAAGAAAAAGAAAAAGGAAAATTTGAAACATAATAGATGCACATTTTTTTATTTTTAGTTTAGAGATTGAATTCTTTATTTAGTTTTTCTCTCTTTTTAATTTTTTGTGTTCTTTCTTAATGTTTTATTTCTTTATTGATATTATAATTTTGTCTTTTTTTGTTTTTAAAAAAATTGTCATACAAGTAAA